TCAAAAACACTTTCCCTCTTACTTTCATGCTGACAAGTCCTGTTTCCTCAGTGCGTTCCATTTCACATACAGCAGAAAGGTTAAAGCAGATGTTTACATGCACTTCATAAGAAGACAACTGTTTTTCAGAACCTCATGACATCTCATGCGTCTAGCTTCAGGTTAGCTTGGGCTCAGACTGGTCCTTGTCTTGCCCCTCTTAGTAGTGCCATTTCTCTCCGTCTGCAGTGTCCTTGTACCAGTTACAGTCAAAGCCACAGATCTTTAGCAGTCTATCCCTTTTGGTCGGCCTCTTGATCTTGTTCCCTCAGCTAGGTCGCTGAAGAAAAGCTGCTTTGATATTCGGTCATCATCTATGTGGCATACATGGCCCAGCCAGCGGAGATGTCTCGTCCTCACTGTGGTGTCAATGGTTGGCTCTCCTCAGAACCTCCATATTGGTTCTATGCTGCCACCACCACGACTCACTACCAAATAGAGTTGAAATTATTTTTGTTTGGTAAATTAATTTGAGGCACACCTCAAAAGCAGCTTATTTGTGTGACATCATCGGAAAAATCAAATCAGCCAACAGGAAGAGAACTGCCGACCTCGACAACTCTGGTTCATCCTTGGGTATAGTTTTCCGATGCTGAAGGCGCTTCATTCATCTGTTCAGGTAGTCTAAATTAAGAACATCATGGGAATGTCTTGCCATCGTACGGTCCGGGAAGAAGACAAATGCGTTGTTCCTGAAATGAACCTGTTTTGGTGAGAAATGTGCACATAGACCTCAAAACAAAAGCTTCCAATTCAGTTCAGTTCAGTTTATTTATATAGCACCAAGTCACAACAGAAGTCATCTCAGGGCAGATTCTGCAAACTATTGTAAGATGCTTAAAGAAGGAAACGCAAAAGATTTGATCCAACTTGTACAATTTAAAGACGAAGCTACCAACTACTAAACTCTTTCAAAAGAAACCTTAGTTCGGGACTTGGACGCCTTCTGGATGCCTTGGTGGTACTTCTGAATGGACCATAGGGCGGCTGCAGCTGAGTGGTTAGAGCAGTCGTCCTCCAATGCAAGAGTTGGTGGTTTGATTCCACCAGCAGTCACATGCTGAAGTGTCCCTGGGCAAGACACTGAACCCCTCATTGCCTCCGATGTGTGTCCCAGCGGTGTATGAGTGTGATAACGCTCTGATTGGTCTTTGTGTAGATCTAGTATAGAGCTGTATGAATGGGTAAATGAGGCACAGACTGTTGTAAAGAGCTTTGAGTATCTTCATAAGATAGAAAGGAGCTATATAAGTACAGTCCATTTATTATTTACCAAGGCAGCAAAGGGCGCGGAAGCCAACCCACACCTGGTGCACCACTGTGCTGCAAAGCGAGGTAGTAACAGAGGTGAAACAGTTAACATGTGAGTAATCTGGTGCTGTGGCTCAGTAATGTGATTATCATTGCAGAATTTTCTTTAACCTTAAAAAAATGGATAGAAACTTGTGATTTTGTAAAGTGATAATTTTTTTTTTTAAATCGTAATTTGTGCTGAAGCTATTTGTTAATAAAATTTCCCTTTGGCACCAGTTGGATTGTAAAATGAACCAAATGTTTAATTCCTGAAACTTCTCTGTGACTTCGATCCGACTCAGATAAAGCAGTTTCTGCAGATGTTGAACTTTGGCTGAACAGTATGTCAGTAGCACAGTCATCACATTTAAATAAAAAAATATATATATGTGACACAAATGAACGTTTTGAGGGATTGCAGCTTCCATGGTGGAACCTTCAACTGGTCCAAGCTTCTTGTTTTGACAGAAGGAGGTCCACCACAGCACCGGCTCCTGCCCTCAGGAGTGTCCACCAGAATTTAAAGTGTTTGTGACGGTGCCAGGAGTGTGTGCGTCCATTTTAAGTGTGTGTGGGAGAGTGATGGTGAATTCATCATGGTGACTGGCCAGTGTCGGTGCTCCCGTCTTGGAGAATTAGCCTTTCAGTCCATTTGAATTCCCGAGGACACGGGCTGCTCGTAGGCCCAGGCTGGCTGCAGACTGTTTTCTCAGGATCAGGTGCAGACAGGCGGGATGTGTGGCGGGTCAGGCCTCAGCAGAGCGGAGCTGCTGTACAAAACCACGAGAGGCGTTTGAGCTCATGCCGACTCTTACCGGTCGGTGGTTACACTTTCTGTTGCCGGCACGGAGACACGAAATCTGCATTATCGCTTTACTTGTTGCATATCGCCCACCAGGTGGAAGTTTTGTGTTAAATCTCAGATTCTAAAAATGATGTTTAGTAGCATTTGTGTTTTCTAAAGTCAGTTTCCTTTAGAGAGCATCACCAAGACCCAAAACAAACAAAGATACAGTTTCCCCTACCTATCCTGATGCATGCTCAATAACCCAGGTAGAAAAATCTAAACTTTTTTTGAATGTCCAGAGGACCAGATTGAACTTTTTTAAAGTTTTAAAAGTTAAAAAGTTCCCCTGACCATTACACAAGCAGGGCGCCCCGCCATGTAAACAGAACCAAACCGAACCCCCCGCCCATCGACAACTGCCGGCACTGATGTAGCACTAAGCTAGCGGCGTGCAATACAGACACGCTAGCTAAAAAGCTCTGTTTCCATCACGCTTAACCTTCTCCCCACCTCACCGCTCACTTGAAAACACAGACATGTCTCGTCACCACCGTACCCCCACCCCATGGGATGAGCGCCCTGCCAAGGAAAGTAATGTAGGGAAGCACTGAAGATGTTTTTTTTTTTAGCTTCATATAAACTCAAACAATACAAGTGAACATTTTGCTGAGAATATGGAGAAGGGGTTCTCTGAGACCAAAAGTGGATTTTTCTGGAGAACAGGCGTTTCTAGAGGATAAACGCTGATTGGCTGACTGTATTTTCTGGCTCTTTAGGTAAGTTACATCAGCTCTTCTTTAAAACTGAAGGCTTCTAAGTACCAGCATTATATCTACTGTCAAACACAAGAAGATTCTCTTGTTCTTGGTTGTAGCTGCACCTGACACAGGTTGTCTTGAGTCTGGTCTGGGTACAATGAAATATGAAGCACCTGAAGAGAAACCTGCTCCCATTGTCAAAAAGTCTGGTCTCAATTAAAGATCACGAGTCCTGTAACGAGATAACGACCCAAAACAAAAGCTAAAAACTAAATTAGCTCATTAGAAGTGTCTTCTATGAGATCTGATCTATGAAAGGAGCTGATACATGGAGTGACCCTTAAAATGTGAGACAGCTGAGGAAGTTAACCAGTAAACAGAATACCTGCTCCAGGTGCAGAAATCTGACAGAAACTGACCATCACTCATCTGCAGCGACTGCAGGTTGAACAAGACAAAGTGAAGTTAAAGGAAACATCCTGTGTCCCAGAGTCAGTTTAAGTATCATTATTATTCTGGTTTCTTTATTTTTCTTTCTTTATGAATCGATTGTAACTATTTTCACATTATTCAACAACCAAAATGGATTTTGTTTTTTAATGTAATGGCTAGGTATTAAAAAACAAACATTTAGTCCTCCCCACTACCCATTTATGTTGCTCTTATTTTGAAATGTAACCGGAAGTTCTGTGTTGAGTTCCCCGTCCAATCAAATGTGGCCCTCCAGACACGCCCATTTTTCTATCGTCCAATCAAATATGGCCCTCCAGACACGCCCATTTTTCTACCGTCCAATCAAATGTGGCCCTCCAGACACGCCCATTTTTCTATCGTCCAATCAAATGTGGCCCTCCAGACACGCCCATTTTTCTATCGTCCAATCAAATGTGGCCCTCCAGACACGCCTTCTGAATTTGTCTGCAGAGATACCTACTTGAGAATATGAGACAACTTACTTTTTTTTTTTGTTCTTAATATCTTTTTTTATTTTTTCATGGAACATACACAATCCAGTCGACAATCAAAACCAAACAAATCCAAACCTGTTTCAACTAAACGAGAGTTCCTAGCTCGGTGTTGTTCCACCATAACGCTTGCACCTCACCAGGCTGCAGCTGTTGGAAACCAATTATCATTATTATTGTTATTTTTTTTTATTTTTTGAGACCAACGGATGAACGATAATCATGAGCGAGAATCCAAAACGTTTTCAGAACTCAAATGCGTACTGTAGATTATATCATAAATGTGGAGGTGTGCACAGTGTGCAACTAAATAATCTGTGATGCTCAGAATATGGCTGTGAATTTAAAAAAAATTACTTCAGTGAGACAGAAAAAAAAAAAAAAGAGATTTTATCACCATTCTGTGTCACCAACTACCGTATTTTTCAGACTATAAGGTGGCACAAAGTGAGCCTTATAATCCTCATCTATTAATTCTGGTTGTGCTCAAACCAATTTTATGTTTACAAGAGAGTTATTGTGAATGAGTTGAATAAAGTTTGACTATCGATAAATACGGTAGTCTCCAACAGCCACCGCCCAGGGAGATACTGCTTAAGAGTGAAATAATTTTATGATAGATTATAATATAAAAGTGACATTCAGGTGGTTATTTAAGCAATAAATGGAAGGATATTTTAAAAAAACACAAATATGCACCACTTGGAAGTTGTTTGCAGCAGAAGGTTGTTCCTGCATGTGCAGAGGTAAGCGTGTCGAGTCTACAAGGAGACGGCAGAGAGCACTTACAGACTACAGCGGACATTTCTACGAGTTTCGTTTGGGTGCACATAAAAGGTGCAACGCTCAGGAGCGATAAAGTAAGATCCTTTCAGCGCAGTCCTGACCGACCAGGCCGGCGTACTGCTGCACGACCGCCTCGTCCACGGGGCCTTTGCGCTTGCGTCTGTAGGCTGCGTACGGCATGGGGACTCGTTTGTACAGCACCAGAGCTCTGCCCACGTCCTTCAGCGCCCGAGCATCCCCTAGACGAAAACAAGCACATATAAAAACATAATAAGGACCAGCGGAGACACATCCAACACAATAAACGTCCTGACTCTTTTGCTGCGCTCATTCGAACTAACCTCGGAGTGACTTGGCACGGATAAATCATTATTCCGAGAAGCTGTTAGGAGCGATGTAATTCCCCTGAGCCCGAAGGTTTGAGTCACTGCGAGCGAGGCGAGTCTGTTTGGCCTCGCACCCCTGTCGGGTAGCCAAACTCAGCATCTCCTCAAGTCCCGTGTCATTCGCTGCCAGCTCCCGTCAGACCAACGAAAACACGTCAGATCTCATGAGTGTGTTTACAAGCTTTAAAAAAATACAGTCCTCTGGAGAGTCGGATGGAAAAAAAAGGTGAAAAACGTTGACCTTTATTTTTGCACTTATACCAACGCCTCCAGGAGAGAGAGCCGGAGCCAAGCTGCACACAGCTGGTGCCGAGAGACGGCGCAGGGCCCAGCAGGGTGCCCCGACTGAGCCAACAGGACCCGGCGATACTCTGCACAGGTACGAAGGGCTCATGTTCCACCGCGAGTGGAAAATCGTGTTTCTTTCTTATTCCCTGGCGCTGTAAAAAGTTTATTATAGTCTGTCACTCAATAAATAAGTATTCTGCTCATCCTCTGAAAGCCTTCTCAGATTTCACCGGCTGTAAAACACCTAAAACATTCACAACACTCGAAACTCGTCTTCTTGGGTTCAGACGATGAGGTCTGGCCTGTCAGAGAGTCAAGGAATAAATATAAACTTCTGGTCGGGCGGAGAAGTGAAATGAGAAAACGCTGAAACGGGAGCAAGCAGCTGAATTACAGATGTCAGAGGTTAAAGATTCTCGCTGCAGAGGATGAAATGAAAAGTTATCCTGAACTACAGCGAACGGTGCAGTTTGAAAGAAGTTACTCTTGTGGTTTCCCAGATACATTCATATCAAGTTCTGGAATTCAGGTACGCACAAAACAGAATCAAAGCTGAATCTGCAAAAAACCACGAGGAAGCTCGATCCACGTGGCTGACCTGCATTATGACCGTAGTCTGTGTAACAAATATGGAGGAACAAGACAAGTGTAGGGCGGCACAGTGGATCAGTAGGTAGAGCTATTGTCTATCAAAAAGAAGGTCACTGGTTCAACTCCCGGACCAAGACCTTTCTGGATTGAGTTTGCATGTTCTCCCCGTGCATGCGTGGGTTTTCTTTGGGTACTCCAGTTTCCTCCCACAGACCAAAAACATGCATGTTAGACTGATTGGTAACTCTAAATTGTCCCTAAGTGAGAGAGCGAGTGAAAGGTTGTTTGTCTCGTTTGTCTCCATGTGTCCCTGTGATGGACTGGAGACATGTCCAGGGTGTCCCATGCCTCTCACACAGTGACTGCTGGACATTCAACCTTTATTTATACAGATTAATCACATTGAGCCTCAGAGACTCATTTACAAGTGAGACCTGTTTTAGACAAACAGACAAAATGATATGGGCACTAGTGACCCGAAAAGGAAGAGGTGAGTAAAGATAATGGATGGATATTTGGTTGGATGGATG